AAACACATGGGGAGGAGGTTCAGGTTGAGCGCGTTGGAGGGGTGTCTGAACGGCGGCCCATTCTATTGGAGGCCGTGGGCTTTCGGGCGCTCCTGCGGGAATCTGGTTCCGGGCCCTGCCCCTGCAGAGGCCTGTCTGGGACGCCCCCTTCTGGGCCTATATGAGGAACAAGCCGCGGGGGTGGGGGCTGCTGCAGGAAGCTCCGTTGGAGCCCTGCTCACGTGCAGTGCGAGGGAGAAAACGCTCCTGGCCGCTCATTTTTTTTGGGGGGGGGAGCGATGGGGGTCTCTCCAGGCAAGACGGAAGACGACGGCGGACAACGACTCGCTCGACGAGGGGCGGGGCGGGAGAAAATGCCGCCTTGACGCCGCGGCACGCGCCTTGACGTTGTCGTGCCGTGCAAAATTTGGCCATCGCCGTGATCCCTGTTCCCCCTTCCTCCAGTGCTGCCAAACTGTTGTGTGCGTCGTTGAACTGCCCCAAGCAGCGCGCAAGTCCCATCCGCGCCCCCTGGGTTGTGAGTGCATGTGTCCAGCCGTCGGCGCTGTCCATGATCATCGTCGTGTAACTATGGCTTGCGTTGCGAGTGTCCTGTCCGTCCTCGATGGTGCCGCCCATGATTAAGTTGCAAGTAGCGGTCTCGTCATGCTAGCATGCGCGTTCGTACAATTCTAGATAACGTGTTTTAGACCGTCTTCTGCTTCCTTCGCTCTCCACCGTGCCGCTACAATGCGCGCTAGAACGGCACCCCTGCATCTGTACTTCTCCTTGAGCCCAGCTCGGGTGTCTGGGTGCCTCTCCCCTGGTATGGGTCCCTTAGTGCCAGGCCGTTCCCATCGAGCAATACGAAAGGCACGACTCTCTGGCCCGCTTCCCCTTCCTTCCGATTTCTCTTCTCAGCTGCAAGCGGGTGATCTGTGCTAGCCCAGTGGCGTCACTTGCACCTTCCTGCGCAGCGTAGGGATGTCGCCCAATCTAGTTCGAAAGGCAAGCGGGTCCCCTGCGTTCGCGACTTGCTTAGCCCTCAATCCTGCACGTGCGTATCGTCGCATATGGTACGGCGATACATCACAAGCCGCCAGTTCTCTTTTGCATTTTTTGGCGCCCCCTCATCCCAAGTCCTGTGGCAGGGCCCTCCCTCTCGTATGTCTGAACAGCGATCCATGATTCGATGCATCCACTTCGTCCTTCTTCTTTTCTGCAACTCTGATTTGCATCTCCTTGCATCTCCTCGATCTTCTTGCCCAATGCATCTTGGTGGTCCAAATGAACGGTCTGGTCTGCAATCATCCAGGACACGCTTTCCGGCACTCCCTATTGTGGGTAGGCTACCATCTTCGCTGGCTTCCTGCAATACTTCAAGATGTCCTGCTTGCCCCTGGCACCTGCTGCACTAATGTCCGCGTACTCTCGTGTTTGGGCCTGTCCTCCATCGGCTTTCTCTGAATGTTCTCAGTACATTATGAAGCTAATTATCCCTCATGTTGATGCTTCGCCAACTCCGCCTGCCGTTCTTCGCATTCGCACCAAGTCCGTGGTGTGGTCGTAGTATACCTCTTTCGGTCCTCTGCCGCTCCTTTGGTATTCAATCCCGAATCGTTGCGTTTCACCGTGGTTGTTGGCTTCGTAAGTCTGCAGCGTTGCTTCCACCAACTTCGCCCTTCTCGCCTGTTCCGTCTCTACTATGACTTTTTTAGTGTTGCCGATGTTTCCCCCGAATCTTCGCGAATGCTGTCGTATCCCTGCTGTGACTGGGCCTCAACCGCGTTCTCTCTCCGATCACTCTTCTTTCCTCCAGCAGTTCGAGGCGTCTCTCTTCCAGGGCTGACATGGCTGGGTCGTCGCAACTCTTCCTTCTTGCGAGAATATGCTGTTTTGCCGTCCTCGCTGCCTTTCCCCAACTGCTCCATGCACTATCTGGCGTAGCTTCTGAAAACATCTGCTCCCAGTCACCCCTTCCCGTTTCCAGGATCTTCTCCTCGATCTCTGTGGAACAACTCGCGGCGCAACTTGCCGCCCTTGAAGCACTCCATGATTGATTCTCTGTCTACCTATCCTACCATCCTGGTCCTCATAGGTGGGGGAAATCTCTGTTGAGGGCTATGTCCACCACTATCCTTATCGGTATGTGATCCTGGTGCCCCCCCTGCTTTAGATTACCTGAAGCCTCTTTGCTGCAGCTCTGGGGGTTACGCATCTCGTTGCCGCTGCTAATGCTGCCACCGGTATGGCAACGTGGTCGATGCCTGTGGCAGTTCCGTTCGTGCTCTGGTATGTTGGTCCACAGTCGTAACGCGTCGTCACAACCGCCAATTCGTTCTGTGCGCAAGACGTCCCGAATTCCTTCCCACCGTCGTTTTCTATTGATTTCGCCCACGGTCCGATCGTGTGTGGTCTGCTTCTCTCTATGCCTCCTTCTCCGCCTCTGTGAATACCGAACCAGCTGTCGATGTCGCCTCCTAGTGCACTTGTCGATACGCATGCTACTCTGTCGCAGAACCATTGCACCCGTTACCAGGATTCCTGCGATATTTGTCAGTGCTGACGCTCGTGGGCCGGTGGTCGCACGTAGCAAACACTGTCAGATCAAATGCAGTGTTCCTGCAACCCTTCCCTGCAGCATTCCTGGCGGTGTAGATGTGCCTGAACGCCTGCGTGCCCAGGTGCCGTGCTACCAGGAAGGCTGCCCTGCATGCTTCGATCTCAACATCCCTGTCTTCCTTCCAGAGTGTGCCCCCCCATGGTGGCTCAGCC